ACAAGCCATTAACAACACCAAGCCATTAATAACACCAAGCCATTAACAACACCAAGCCTTTAAAACAACACCAAGTCATTAACAACACCAAGCCAATTAATAACACAAAGCCATTAATAACACCAACCCATTAACAATACCGAGCCATTGACAACCCAACCCCATTACAACCCCAAAGCCATTAATACACCAAGCATTAACAACACCAAGCCATTAACAACACCAAGCCCTAATAACACCAAGCCATTAACAACACCAACCCACTAATAACACCAAGCCATTAACAACACCAAGCCACTAATAACACCAAGTCATTAACAACACCAACCCCATTGACAATACCAAGCCATTGACAACACCAAGCCATTAACAACAAGCCATTAAAAAACACCAAGCCTTTAAACAACACCAAAGCCATTAACAACACCAAGCCATTAACAACCCCAAGCCATTAAAAACCAAGCCATTAACAACACCAAGCCTTTAATAACACCAAGCCTTTAACAACACCCAACCCATTAATAACACCAAGCCTTAACAACACCAAGCCATTAATAACCCAAAGCCATTAACAACACCAAGCCATTAACAACACCAACCCTTTAAAAACAATACCGAGCCATTGACAACACCGAGCCATTAACAACACCAAGCCATTAACCCTTAAATTGTCCAAACGTAGATCTACGTTTGCACGCGTAGCGCTCCGAACGTAGATCTACGTTTGGACAGTTTAACCCTTTCAGGGTCCAAGGCCAAAATCTGAAGTCACGCACCAGTGTCCAAGAAATTTTGAAAAAAAAAAATTATTTTTTCTTACAGAATTAAAGAGCATATTTTTGTGAAGGTAATAAAACAAAAAAATTAGAATCTGATCAGTACTTACCGAGATACAGTGCCAAGAAGTTTGTAGAAAATGATGTGGTTGCGGCAACATCGACGAATTCCACATACGCGTATTATATTATTTTGTTGTTTTAGTTGTTTTTTCTTTTCTTTTCCAATTTTTTTCTATTCCTACTAACATTTGGGGCCTGAGAGACCAATACTGTATATAATGTATATATATAAACTCACTGTATTGAACACAATAACCGCACTAAAGTTATTATCATGTTATTGTTTACCACTGTTGTTTATTACAATAAACAATGCACAAATATTGTATAATACTAAGGGTTCTATCATATATTTACATATTTACAATCCGGGACATGGTTTTAGAACTGCTGGAGCTTGGGGGAACTCCTTGAAACAAGGCACCATGCACAGAGGCACCTTACATTCCTCACACATAAACCGAGTGTCTTTGCGTCTTTGTTGCCGTCGTTTTGTTTGTGCACAGAAAAATGCATCCCCTTCTGAGCAAATTTTTTTGAGTTGAAGGAAGCTGTATTAATGAAATGATCACCTTCTCTTCTAAAAACGCTTGGGTATATTGTGATGAATTCGAGGACCATGTTGTATTGCAGGTGTTGTTACCTGGTACTTCATTATGAGTTTCTGACAACAGACAAACAAAATTCACCTACGGTGGTCTGTTACCAGTCTTTATTTGGTACATATTATATGCATTCAGCATTGAAATGTCCATGAGATGGAAGAAAAGTTTCATGTACCACTTGTAACTCTTACGAACACAGTCAACAAAACCAATCTGCATGTCACACTTGTCAACCAAAGCGCATGTTTTGTGTATAATCAATCACTGTCACTGGTTTTCGAATACGTTCATTAGTCACTCGATCAATTTGCCACTGTCCTTGCATTTCATTACGGTGAATGGGGTTTTCAACAATGTGACATCTCGTTTGTCATGCCACCGTAATGCCATGATGTCATTGGCAGTAAACACCTGCACGTGGCTCTGGTGGCCTGGTGGTTAACGCTCTCGCTTCACACCGTGAGGGCCTGGGTTCGATTCCCAGCCAGAGTAGAAACATTGGACGTGTTTCTTTCCACCTGTTGTCTATGTTCCCCATCGTAAAATGGGTACCGGGTGTTAGTCGATGGTGTGGTCGCATTCCTGGACACTGACTAAGGAGGCCTTTGGTCACAGACCCGGCCCGGGGCGTTGACCCCGGAACTCTTCCCGATAAACTCAGTATAATCCAGACGTCCCTCACACGAACACCTGCGTTTAGCCTGGCATGTTTACGATTAGAACGCACGTGCCACACACACTTCTTGTTCACTCCATGAATCACTGATAATGGGTTTTACCAGTTATCGTATATAATGTTGGCCTTACAGAAGGTGATCATGTTTCTCATACTCACCTGTAACCAATAATTTGGTATCTTTCAATGTTTTATACCGTGTATACAAAAAATATCCAACACAGGCCACTGCAAAATCACAGAGTACAAACAATTTTTTACAAAGCGGTTCTCTTGCTCGTATATACGCTTGAATGACAGTTACTTTGAAAAAATCAAGATGTCAATTACAGGGTTCTGAATGGTAAAAGTATATCCTGAATTTGTTTGAGTACTGAAACATTTCTAATCTTGTATAACCTGTCACTTTGTCAGGCCTGGGTTTTTTTCAGGGGAAAATGCAACTACGTAACAGTAAGATAAACCTGTTCACTGGTATTATTTCACTGAAGGATGGGGTACAAATTAGCCGATCTGTGGACCAGTATGCTTTTATTATGCTTATAGACGTGATGGATAAGCATTATGTTGCAAAAAGCAAAAACATTTCTGCAACAGTCGTCTCTTTCCACCTGTGTAGTCTTGACTGTGGTGATAAGGGTCGTATTTGCCATGGTGTACTGAAAATACTTATTAATTTCCCTGACAATAATTTCCATCAATGGCTGGTCAAAGAATAATTCAAAGAATTCCAGTTCATTGGCCGTGGTTCCAAGGGGACAGGTAGGTAGAATTCCACTTTGCGAGTCATAAAGTGGTGAGGGCTGGGAACAAAATTGGGATTTTGCTGCCAATCCAGATACGGTTTTTCTGGTGGATACTGGACATCATAGGCTGGTTGTACGGGTGGTTGTGGCGGGCTGGGGGGTGACGCTCCGCTTTGTCCTTGAACTGACGAGTCACAGCGTGGGTTCCCGCGTGGCACAGCGAGTCACGCATGGCGGTGCCGCTACCACCACCAGCCCCACTAAAACCATCCACTGATTCTGTGGCCCATCCATGCCAAGTGTTAGCCACATCATCCTCACTTATCACTACCTAAAACGGGTGTAGGGCCACGGGATGTCTCCGGGATTACTCCGGGATGAACTCCGTCCCCTGGGCACAGCAAGGGGGACACTACCCGAGTGCATGCGGCGGCGAACATACCCACGTTTCACTGGTGAATATTTTCCTCACTATCACTACTCGAATGATCGTCGAGCGCAATAAAATCACAATCCACGTCAGAATCATCGTCATTACTGAAGTCAGAGGCCAGGCCACGGGAAAATATTAGTTTTCTCTTACGTTTAGGAACCCCGACCGTGAGTCACGAGTGCCCACACCAGGGGTTTAGAAGGTCGAGGATCGTCGGGGTTTTCTGCACTATTATCGATATCCTGGTCATTATTTCGGTCACTAACTTATCAAAGCCGTAGAATTCGTCTTCATTTCCACTTCCATCAGTGTCAGAACTATCAGACAGGAAGAGGAGAGTCCCAATTTTCCGGGGAGTGAGAGCTGACTTACGACGAGACATGGTGAACAAGGGTGACTGAGCCGGCGTTCCCACAATGCTATGCAGGCGCCTAGATTTTTTGTTTATGGCGCACACCCACCGCGCAGACCCATTCTCTCATATGTAGGCCTATGAGCGCTTTCGCGCTAAATTTGACGGCACTAGAATTTTGGCGTAGATCTACGGTTTGGACACTCACCGACCAGCCGTAGATCTACGGGACGGACCCTGAAAGGGTTAAGGGTTAACTACATGTTGATGAAGAAATACTTAACTTAATGTTGAGGAGTTACAGTATGATGATGAAGGTCATCAGAGTGACAGTATGATGATCAAGGTCATGTTAGTGAGAGTATGATGATCAAGGTCATAAGGTCTGGAAGAGTAATGGACCTTCAACTTAGACTGGAGCATCACGAGGGTCTGACTCTTAATGAACTCTGCCAAAGTGTCTGCACCAACTTATAGCAAAATTCCCAAGCTCCATGTACAAGGTCGGACACATCAGCAGGGTCAGACACATCAACAAGGTCAGACACATCAACAAGGTCAGACACATCAGCAAGGTACAGACACATCAACAAGGTTGGACTCATCAACAAGGTCAGACACATCAGCAAGGTACAGATGCATCAACAAGGTCACACGCACCAGCAAGGTCAGACACATCAGCAGAGTCAGACACATCAACACGGTCAGACACATCAGCAAGGTACAGACACATCAACACAGTCAGACACACCAGCAAGGTCAGACACAACTACAAGGTCAGACACATCAAGGTCAGACACAGTAGCAAGGTCAGACACATAAGCAAGATACAGACACATCAACAAGATCAACAAGGTACAGACACATTAACAAGATCAACAAGGTACAGACACATTAACAAGGTCAGATACATCAGCATCAGACACATTAGCAAGGTCAGACACAGCAAGGTTACAGACACAACCCAAAGGGACAGACACAAGGTACAGACACATCAGCAAGGTCAGACACATTAGCAGTGTCAGACACATTAGCTGGGTCAGACACATTAGCAAGGTCAGACACATCAGCAAGGTCAGAAACAACAAGGTCAGATACATTAACAAGGTCAGACACATCAACAAGATCAGACACATTAGCAAGGTTAGACACATTAGCAAGGTCAGACACATTAGCAAGGTCAGACACATCAGCAAGGTCAGACACAACAAGGTCAGACACATTATCAAGGTCAGACACATTAACAAGGTCAGACACATCAACAAGGTCAGACACATCAACAAGGTTGGACACATCAGCAAGGTACAGACACATCAACAAGGTTGGACTCATCAACAAGGTCAGACACATCAGCAAGGTACAGATGCATCAACAAGGTCACACACACCATCAAGGTCAGACACATCAGCAGAGTCAGACACATCAACACGGTCAGACACATCAGCAAGGTACAGACACATCAACACAGTCAGACACACCAGCAAGGTCAGACACAACTACAAGGTCAGACACATCAAGGTCAGACACAGTAGCAAGGTCAGACACATAAGCAAGATACAGACACATCAACAAGATCAACAAGGTACAGACACATTACCAAGGTCAGATACATCAGCATCAGACACATTAGCAAGGTCAGACACAGCAAGGTACAGACACAACAAGGTACAGACACATCAGCAAGGTCAGACACATTAGCAGTGTCAGACACATTAGCAGTGTCAGACACATTAGCTGGGTCAGACACATTAGCTGGGTCAGACACATTAGCAAGGTCAGACACATCAGCAAGGTCAGAAACATTAACAAGATCAGACACATTAGCAAGGTTAGACACATTAGCAAGGTCAGACACATTAGCAAGGTCAGACACATCAGCAAGGTCAGACACAACAAGGTCAGACACATTATCAAGGTCAGACACATTAACAAGGTCAGACACATCAACAAGATCAAACACATTAGCAAGGTCAGATACATTGGCAGGGTCAGACACATTAGCAAGGTCAGATGGATTAGCAAGGTCAGACACATTAACTAGGTCAGACACATTAGTAAAGTCAGACACACTAGCAAGATCAGACACTTCAAGGTACAAACACATCAGCAAGGTATAGACACATCAGGGTGCAGACACATCAAGGTACAGACACATCAACAGGTTATAGACACATCAGGGTACAGACACATCAAAGTACAGACACATCAACAAGGTACAGACACATCAACAAGGTACACACATACCAGCAAGGTAAGACACATCAGCAATGTCAGACACATAAACAAGGTCAGACACATTAGTAAAGTCAGACACACTAACAAGATCAGACACATCAAGGTACAAACACATCAGCAAGGTCAGACACATCAGCAAGGTATAGACACATCAGGGTACAGACACATCAAGGTACAGACACATCAACAAGGTACAGACACATCAACAAGGTACACACATATCAGCAAGGTAAGACACATCAGCAAGGTCAGACACAGCAAGGTCAGACGACACATTAGCAAGGTCAAACACATCAGCAAGGTCAGACACATCAAGGTCAGACACATCAAGATACAGACACAGCAAGGTCAGACACATCAGCAAGGTCAGACACATCAGCAAGGTACTTGGCTTCTTTAGATTTTATAGCTTCAAATATTAATAAACTGTTTAAGTTTAGTTGTTGTCTTGCTAGGATGTGAGTACAGTTTATTTAATGTAGTGGAATCCTAAGTTGAGGCAGTAGTGTTTATGTGGTTGTCCATAACAATATTATACTAGGAGGAACAGTAGTGTTTCTGTGGTTGTCCATAATAACACTGTACTTGGAGAAATGCTAGTGTTTCTGTGGTTGTCCAAAAACAACACTGTACTAGGAGAAACATTAGTGTTTCTGTGGTTGTCCATAAAACTGTACTAGGAGAAACAGTAGTGTTTCTGTGGTTGTCCATAACAACACTGCCCTAGGAGAAACAGTGTTTTTGTGGTTGTCCGTAACAACACTGTACTAGGAGAAACAGTAGTGTTTCTGTGGTTGTCCATAACAACACTGTACTAGGAGAAACAGTAGTGTTTCTGTGGTTGTCCATAACAACACTGTACTAGGAGAAACAGTACTGTTTCTGTGGTTGTCCATAACAACACTGTACTAGGAGAAACAGTAGTGTTTCTGTGGTGGTCCATAACAACACTACACTATGTAAAGTAAAAGTACACAAGTGCAACTAATGTGACAGTTTATTGTGGCAATGTTTCGCTCTCCAGGAGCTTTGTCAAGCCGTTACAAACAGTACATGGACACAGAGGGTATATATAGGCTCAGAGTGAGGTGCAATACTAGTGGTAGTAGTAGTAGTGACATAAATTGTAGTAGTAGTAGTAATACAATATGGTAGAACAGTTAACTCATACATGAGTAAAAGGATATAAAAACTATTACTTGGGTAACATAAAAATAGGTTAGACAGATATAGACTGGATAGCAAAGGCCTGTTTCAGTGTTCACTCTCTGTAATGTGCTTTGTGTAGTATTAACACGAGAGACTATGTGATGGCAGGGTTTACTGTTTTCAGGAGGATTCCTGCTAAGACTTCAGAGATGGTGAAGCTGCCTTTGTTTTGTTTAATTGTATTCGAAACAGCGATTAGTGCTGACTCAAGGCACTTGCATCTACGGAAATTAGTTTCTTTGATCACTAATTGGCGTCCCTGAATTTCATGAGATGATTGGTGGAATTTCGGTGTTGTACACAGGCGTTGTTCAAGTTATCATTCCTACATGTGTAAATGTGTTCATTGAGGCGGGTGTCGAGGTTTCTTGCTGTTTCACCTACATAAATCTTGTCGCAGCCTCCACAGAGTATAGTGTAAACCCTGCATTGGCTGGTTTGTGGTACTTTGATTTTGTCCTGGTTCGATCCTTTATTGAAGTGCTGGAAGAGATGGCGGCTCTGGTGTTAGCTTGTGAGAGCACTTTAGAAACGTTCAGTGCAACCTGGCTGTTGGGAAGAATTATAACTTTGTTGGGAGTGGTGTTGATGCGTGGAGAATTAATGATCTGAAGAGCTCTTTTCTTGCAGTCTTTGATGAAAAAGGAAGGAAAATGTAACTCAGTGAAGGTTTGGTGAATGTATGTACATTCCTCGTCAAAAAACTCAGGGCTACAAATTCGGTATGCTCTTAGGAAAAACCCGATGATGATGCCTCTTTTGGTCTTAGTATCTTGACTGGAATAGAAGTGTGTGAGATCATTTTTATTGGTAGGTTTCTGATAAACTTGAAATCTTACTTAACTGAATGTGCCGAAGAACTTTCTAACGTCGCTAAGGAAACCTTTGAAACTGCAAGGAATATGAGGGCCAATCTTCAGATTGACCAACACACTGCTGAGCTTATTCTCAGCACAGTCACCACAGCCAACCCCCAACAGAAGATCAAACTCAGTCGCAAACTTCAGTACCTCTGCACTAACAGTCGATGGAAGGAAATGGGATGCAAATCCCTGATAAACAACCTATCGTCACGCACCTTAACTAACTACGAGAAACAAGCACTGAGTCTGGGACTCAAATTTACCACCAACATACGCAAACCTAACTATCAACTCAACCTAGTTACCAGGAACCATAGACACAGTGACAACTACTTCCAGAAGGGTTATATACAGGGCATTCTCACTGCAGCTTTATGTGAACCTTCTTCTAATCTTCCTAGATGATACATCACTGCCCTTAAGGACCTCGCCAACGACCCCAACATTATCGTCACCACCGCCGACAAAGGAGGTGGAGTCATCACAATCAACACCAGTGACTACAACACTAAAATGATGGACCTTTTGAGTGATCAGTCTACATACGAACCCATCAGCACTCAACAGTGGGAGACATTCACCAAAGATTTTCTATACAAAACCAGACAAATACTCAAACGCACTAGAGAAGGGAAGAAACTTCTGTACCTGTTACCCAGCAACCCTAAACCAGCACACATGTATGGTTTACCCAAGACCCATAAACACAATATTCCTCTCAGACCAATCACATCAGGTATAGGCAGTGCTCCACACAAACTAGCCGGAGTTCTTGCCAAACATCTTTCCTGCCTTCTGGGGACCATCAGCCCAGCTCATCTTAAACACTCGGGCGACCTTCTCAACCGCATCCGAAACCTCTCCATCTGTAACAAAAAACTAAGTAGCTTGGACGTGACTTCCCTCTTCACAGAAGTACCTACCACTAAAGCCATCGAGGTTCTACAACGCAAAGTCAATCAGGACCTTAATCTTCCACTACGTCCCGGAGATTTTGTTGACTTGATTGAACTCTGTGTTAATTTCAACTGTTTTTCTTTCAATAACAGGCTCTACAAACAAACCTACGGCATGGGAATGGGGTCCCCCATCAGTGCCATCCTAGACAACTTATACATGGAACACCTAGAGTCCGAACACTTCACCAACATCATCCCTTCAAGTTTCACTTGGTTACGTTACGTGGACGACGTCCTCGTAATAACTCCCAAACATTTCGATGTATGGAATCTTCAGGCAAGGCTCAATGCAGTTGACCTGGCGATCCAGTTTACACTAGAAGAAAAGTCCAATGACAAGCTACCTTTCCTCAATGTCCTCATTCACAAAATAGATAACAACCTAAGATTTCAAGTTTATCAGAAACCTACCAATAAAAATGATATCACACACTTCTATTCCAGTCAAGATAATAAGACCAAAAGAGGCATACCGAGCATACCAAATTTGTAGTCCTGAGTTTCTTGACAAGGAATGTACATACATTCACCAAACCTTCGCCGAGTTACATTTTCCTTCCTTTTTCATTAAAGACTGCAAGAAAAGAACTCTCCAGATCATTAATTCTCCACGCACCAACACCACTCCCAACAAAGTTATAATTCTTCCCAACAGCCAGGTTGCACTGAACGTTTCTTAAGTACTCTCACAAAATAACAAAAAGGCACAATACCGTGACTGGAACAATACACAAATAACCCGCACATAAAAGAGAGAAGCTTACGACGACGTTTCGGTTCGACTTGGACCATTTACAAACTCAATGGTCCAAGTCGGACCGAAACGTCGTCGTAAGCTTCTCTCTTTTAAGTGCGGGTTATTTGTGTATACTCTCACAAGTTAACACCAGAGTCGCCATCGCTTCCAGCACTTCAATAAAGGATCTAACCAGGACAAAATCAAAGCACCACGAACCAGCCAATGCAGGGGTTTACACTATACCCTGTGGAGGCTGCGACAAGATTTATGTAGGTGAAACAGCAAGAAACCTTGACACCCGCCTCAATGAACACATATACACATGTAGGAACGATAACTTGAACAACGCCTGTGTACAACACCGAAATTCCACCAATCATCTCATGAAATTCAGGGACGCCCAATTAGTGATCAAAGATACTAATTTCCGTAGATGCAAGTGCCTTGAGTCAGCACTAATCGCTTTTTTTTGAATACAATTAAACAAAACAAAGGCAGCTTCACCATCTCTAAAAGCCCTTAGCAAGAATCCTCCTGAAAACAGTAAACCCTCCATCACATAGTCTCTCCTGTTAATACTACACAAAGCACATACAGAGAGTGAACACTGAAACAGGCCTTCTCTATCCAGTCTATATTTGTCTAACCTATTTTTATTTACCCAAGTAATAGCTTTTATATCCTTTTACTCATGTACGAGTTCATTTTCTACCATATTGATATTACTACTACTAAACTACTACAACTACTATATTCACTACTACTACATACTACTACTACTACTACTACCACTAGTATTTCACCTCACTCTGAGCCTATATATACCCTCTGTGTCCATGTACTGTTTGTAACGGCTTGACAAAGCTCCTGGAGAGCGAAACGTTGCCTTAATAAAAAAGTCACATTAGTTGCACTTTGTACTTTTACTTTGCATATTGTTGGTAATTCTACCAACATTATTACAACACTACACTAGGATAAACAGTGTTTCGATTTTACGTATATTTTGTTAACTATGCTATGCTATACTGTTAGTGCATCTCAGTTTTTGCAAAGCAGGAATGATATAAAGAGGGAGGA